CCCGTCGTTCTGGAAGGATGGAATCGACAAGCTGCCTGAGCGCTGGCGTCGAGTAGTGGATGATGGTGCATACCTCTAATCTTCAGGCTGGTTCGCTTTTGAGATATTTACAAAAAGTCGGGGTTAAAAACATATGCATCAACCTAATATAATCTATTGGAGCTTGACTTGATCACTCCCAGTGTACAGAGTTCGGATCAATTCCTGGAAAACCGTAAGTATTATGACACAACTAGCTAGATAAATAATGATTTATGGAAAGACCAATTTCATTTATGAAAGCGCTCAGAGATCCTTCAACTGTTCACAAGAACGGCAGCAAATTTCCTTGAAATCCGTCGCCTTACAGTAGTGACGCAATTTCGCTTTGGAATACTTTCGGCAAGTCTTCTCGTTGAGATCTGAGCATTCTGAAATGAGAAGTAAATTAGGTCTCCAGTGGAGTTTGGCGCTTGTACTTTTCTCTGTTGCCAACACGTCAGAATAGGAGGGGCTGGCAAATAATGAGGACTTTTCGTACCATCGGGGCTGAACAAGGAAACAATAAAACTTGCCTTGAAGTCTCTTAGGGTTCTCAACGCATCGTCCCGCTATGCACCACTGAAAAAGATCATTTCAAAGCTTTTCTCGATTGTGAAAGGTATATTGAAAGGCACAAGTCACGCTGCTCGTATGGCTGAAGTGAGGCTACCTTTCCCTTAGAGGATAGCACCAATGGGAGAGGGGAAGAAACACAGTCTCACACTCGACTCCTATCGAAAAAAACGGTTTTTTTTACAGTGCCCAAATGTTTGACCCAGGTTCAAGCCGAACTGCTCAAGTAGCAACAACACTTAGCAGCAAAGCACGGAAAATCGTAGACTGTCTTTTGTGAGGACCCCTCATCCTTAGTCGTCTAATCTCTTGTCAGAGCACTCAATGTTTCTCCACCGAGAACCTATAGAAATTAGGTGAAATAAGTTTGCAAAACTGTCTCATTCAGTGCATCTCCTACGGCATCGTTAGTTCCTTACTGGGTAAGTCACGTGGTTGCTTCCCTTCGAGCCACTCGACACACTTTCGTGGATTGTGCCTTCACATCAGCAAGAGTATAGCTTTGACAAACAGTTGCAGCTTTCAAACACCTGTAAATGACTGGAATTGAGGATTACACAGACCGACCTTGGTACGACCACACTCGGTGCCGTCTAACGCGGGGAAGTACGTTCTCGTTTCACATGGATCACTCCTTGGTTTGGTCCTATCTTTACACCAAACTCGAGCGCATATATCTCGACCCAGAAAATACTCCTTGCTCTGAAAATAGATGCCACACTTCATGACAGTGGAGAAGCAGAAGAGCGTGCTCATCATGGCCCAAGGCTTACGAGGTCTTCATGAGATGTGTTTGCTAGGAAGAGACCACCAGAATTATCTAGGGGCGAGCTGTATTTGTCAGCTACAGAAACATCTGGAAACTCACAGGGCATACTCCGTAATGTGGTCCAAATGAAACCTGGCACTGTTGCCGTAAACCAATCATCTCGCCAGGAGACAAGGAGATAATTTCCTGCGGTTTTGTTGACATATGGTTGCTGTCAGGATGCTTGAATTTCCTCACACACTGTGCCGTATGAGTTCTGAAAGCTCCAAATAATAGAAAATCATATACGGAGAGAAACAAGACTGAAAACTCACTCTAAGTTCTTCTCAATACTTTTAACGCTGCACGGGCTCATAACCCGGCTATTAGAAAAGTGAGTGAAGTCCCCAGAGCCAGACACCGTTGAAGCCATCAGGAAGTTCGCTGACGAGACACACTCTTCAGCGCCCGGATTGCCGTCGTGGAATGCACCAAGGCTTCAAAATGTTGAAGAGAAAATTCACTTCAAATTTGATTAGTTCGAAATGAAATACAAAATGATGAAACTAGGTGGGGATATGTATATGTATGTATGACTTCATTCTTTCATTGGAACAAATGATAGGGCCTCTTTCAGGTCTCAGTATCACTAATGACAATACCCTGATCAATCCTATTATGCGGCAGTGCGCAGTTCCGCAACCGCTGGCTACTGACCAGAGTCAAACAGCCATCATATCGCGGAAAATCATCCGGTCGGTACGACCCTTCTCGAGGAGGAAGTACAACTCCACTCCCCGTTACAGGTTGTCGATGTATCTGCTCGATTTCTGAGCTTTGGGCGCTCCCATGGCCCACTGGACGGTCAAATCTTCTTGAAGATGCATAAGACCATCACAAACGATCTTTTGCCAAGCAGTAAGCAGAATTCGTTGTTTTAAAAGAGGCTCTATGCGAAACATACTGAAGCCATTATCGAAATCGCCTGGCAGCTTTACATCAGAAGAAAATCGGAAAATATCTGGCGGTCGTGCGTTTTCCTTTTTTGAAGGCATCTCCAATACGTGCAGAAGTTTTGCCGTGGTTTCAGCGATAGTAAAATTTGCCCGTCCGGATTTTGTTCAAAAAGTTTGCCCGGCCGCACTAGGTCTCCTCACTAACACAGCTCTCATTCTCCATTACCAGAAACGCAAAAGGCTTCAAGTACATTTTTTTCTACTAGTTCAAGTAGGAATTGAGGGACTAAAGCACTGACAAGCTTTTATTGTTGAATGCGCCACATATAGGTCTTCATTCAAGATCACAGTGACAAACAATGGATTCGTGGAATATGGACCTAATACAGTCCATACATCTCCCTGAACCAGCTGATCAACTCTTTGCCATTTTGAGCAAAGGTAACTGGCAACTGGTTGTAGTTACATTACCCTAAATTAATTTGTCATGATTCTCTGACTCGACGGGGATACCGCGCTCCATGGTTTAAGAGGCTTAATGCAGTGTTCCACCCGTACGACGTGTTATTTTAAAAAGCAGCGAGCCCCCGTTTATCACAGACAGGTGCATACGACACGCCTACGTCGTTGATCAGCGACAGCTTTGAAGCAGAACTTCGCGATTGACTCGTCAGATGGTGGATTAGGGGGTTCCGTACAGAGGGGTTGAGTAACTCGACAGTGAAGAAAAAAAAGCACAAAAAACATGCCACCTGCCCTAGATAGAACCCCATTTTCGATCCCAGTTTGTACGTGCCCAATTAACTCTATCTCCCAAACTACGCCCTCACTAACCGCAGCTGTATTCGCCGATAAAAACGTCTACGGTCGTACAAGTGACGATTTTTTCAAGCTTTTCCGTCTTGCATCTCGTTTTTTCATCCACCGGGCATTGAGGGCGGGTCTGGGGGCGGAGTCGACTGCGAAAAGGAGGAAGCCACTGAACTTATATTACATTATAGCGTCCCCCTCCGCAGTGGAGTTTTGCGCGGAAGCGTACAAGTTGTTCGTCCGCGACCACTTTCTAACTCCTGAGCCATATTTTCAACTGCGATACCTGGTCGCGGTCCGTGCCGTTAATCCTGTCAGCGTTGATTCATTCCCACTCAATCACAACCAATTCATGTTTTTGTGTCATCAATGTGCACGACGTTCCATGACCACTGTGAGTTCACACATTTCGATTTTTCACCTGTGTTAAGTGTTTCGCTCATCGCGGAGTCTCAATCGCTTCAAGACAGGCCTACACCTAGCCACAGATTTTTTGCCCTTTTTGGTGCTTTTGCGGCTGTCTTTCAGCTGTCTGCATGCAAGATTTCGCAACAGAAGCCTACATAAAAATCGCAAGTTGCAATGTCCGAAAATCTACCACAATGGGTCGCGGGCAGAAAACGGATCATGGAATGAGCGATCTGCCATCCGAAGCTCTCGATTTTTTTTCCATTGCTCCCTTCGGTCCTCTTTTTTTTAACCCGCTGCACAGATAAATGTAAACGGCGAAAGAATGTGAACACTGCCTTAACTGACCTAATCGTGAACATGCTGTAAGCTTTGGGCCGTATTCCATCTGATATCCTACAATTACGTAATGAACCTTCAGATACTCATTACAGAATGGGGACAAAAACCTCTCAAAGAAGAGAATAATAAAATGGAAACAATGTTGGTGCTTTCGTCTCCCCCAGGTTGAGATCCCTGCACACAGAAGGCGAAGGCAGACCCGAGCAAAGGGAAGCCTGCTCGTAGGGAGCCCTCCTTATAGAGATCTCACGGAAAAAGAAATTTGACAATGGCAAATTTCGACGGAGTAATTACAAGATCCATGCATTGTGCTGCTGCTAGCTAACTGACTTCATCTATTTATATCATGGAGAGCAGCAATATTAGAACTTTACTATTGCAGTGATATAAGTGCACTTCAACTTTCTTCCGTATCCATGAGATCTTATGAAAAGGGCTCTTTTTTTCCGTATCTGCATCGGGCATAAGAACTCAAATATATAAATAAATAGGAATAATTCATAGATGGTGATACGGTTACTGTGACCAAGCTCATGTGCTGCAATGACTGCAGTTGCTGCGGCTCCGATATCTTCAACGATACTAGCTGAATCTCCTTTTTTGCAAATGTTGCCAACGTACGCCATTCCTTGGGTAAACGAATCACCCCGAGGTGATAGAAGATCGAACCTGCGTGAGGTTGTTTTTTCATATTTTTATTCTTTACATATTCTTTGTTCAGAAGGGATCAAATCATACTTCGAACAAGGAAATGATGAAAAGAAATAAAACAATTTCAGAGTCAATTAGCACGTGCATTTATTATTAGGTCTTTGATTGGCCGTGCAGCGTGTTACATGTCTGCGGCGTGTTTTGCTAGCGAGCAGAAGACATTGCAGCTACCACAGATTATCCTACTTCGCATCACTTTCGAAAGCCGGTGAGTACCCTTCCTAAGCGCGAACTCTGCTCGTTATGTCGTTGTCCCAACGATCAACCTGGCCCAGTATGCGTACAATGTGCCTCCATAGTACCTTTTTGTTTGGAGCTAAAAGAATAACTTGGATACTTGTTTCTCACTTTGTGATCAAAATGGCGTGGTCGTGTTTAGGCAGATATGGATCATGCGTCTTCAACCAGTGCGTAAATTTGTCCAGAGCATCCACTGCCGGAATACTCAAACTGAGCCTGAAAATTGAAAACATGCATTTCAATTTCTGAGCAAACTTCCCTTCAAAAAGTTCATGAGTCATCACCAGTAAAGATCGGCGTATAGAGCCTACTCAATTTGCTTATGCTGAACTAGTCAATTTGCTTATGCTGAATACACCTTGAATTTGCTGTCAAAGGTTTATTCAGGTTCTTGCATGTCCATCACAGCTGACCGAAAGGTTCATGGGGAGAGGATCAAAATAAGTTCGGATATAATCCCTATGAACTACGTACGACTTTTTAACCAAAGTTTTTTTGGGTTTCGAGCATTTGCATTTCCTCATTTCGAAGATTTCATGAATTTGGAAGAACTTACCTACTCTGTGCTATTCGTTTCCTCAAAACCGACACCAATCGTAGAATTATCTAGAGTCGAGTTGGAGGAAAGTGTGTCTTCAGATTCTTCCAAGGCATGCAACACGGGACAATCTTCCTCTCTGAACAGTAACATAATATTAACAAATGGAAGAGCGCATGCATCTCTGACAACGATGGGTTTTCTCGTAAATAAAGAACATCTCTTAATTAGGTGAGTGAAGCAATTTTCATCCCGACCAAGGAGACCGCAAATGCAGAGATACACTGGGCACTCAAGCCGCGTTCAATGTTCCACGACGTGTAACGCGGTTCGGTTTCGAACAGGGGATTTCAATGAATATCGCTGGTTCCGGGTCGCTGTGTTCCTAGCAACGTGAGCGTTGTATAAAGAGAGTCAATAGCCGCAATGATTTCTCGTTGTGTAGATCGGATACTGGTGCTAGTATCACCGTGCTTGTAGCACCTTTTTCGTCGCGCTCGTCACTCTTCGGAAGTCGTGGTATGCACCCGGGAGAATTGCAAATCGTTGGTAGTGGAGTTCACAGATGGAAGTGTGGGCGTTCAATGACTTGACGTAGAACGGCGAAAGAAATGGATGAAACAAACAAGGTCTCCCTGAGCGGGCAAGTACCTAACCAATGCGGTCACAGCATCCTTTGACTCTCAATCTTTCCTTTACATTTCCAGCAATGCAGATGGCAGAGCCCTTGAAGAAAAACGTAGCACAGAAAGAAAATTTGCAAAATAAACTAGCATCGGAAACTTCCGGCGACTGCGACTACCGCAAGCCAAAGAACAATTGCACTAATCACACGAATGCGGCGGTATTGGAAAAATTGGGACCTTGATGGGACTCGAACCCGTACTCCTGCTTACCGGTCGGCGCGTTGTCCATTACGCTACCGGGACCACTTTGCCTTCTCAGCTCAATGGCATTTTGTGCCATAGCCTTACAGCACTCACACGTTCAACGTGATGAGCCGGCTAACCGATATCGGCAGTAAGGCGCAATTGCACCAATAAAACTGCATCATCGGTGAACTGAACATCGTCGAAATGCTTCTTACCTTAAGAAATGGATTGCTTTTCTTTCCATGTGCTGCCTCGTAAAACAGGCATCTGAGGAAAATAGAATTCCTTGAATTTCACCCACGAAGTCAAGCTGGAAAGCGACGGAGACCAAGGGTCGGTCGCAGCCAAAGTGAATGGCGTCTTTACTCATAGAAACGACCGCTTACATGCTCGCCCACGATGGGCGAGGCACCTTGAAGGTATCCTGTATAGCTTCGAAACTTTCGTGGTCGCAGCGTCCCCGTTACTCCTTATGGAAATGTGAAAGTGGAACAATGTCAGAGATCGCGGACCATACCTCTTGGAGGGACTCGTTGAACACGTAAGCGTCACGCAAGCTATGAAACTCCAAGAACGTGGATGAAACCACCATTTAGGTCGCATGGTTTCTGTTATCCGCGAGACGTGAGTGTGGAGGGGGCCGCTGAGGCAGCCCACCGCGCCACGTTTCTACAGCTGAGTCACGTTACTCGCACGATGAACGTAATCTCGCAATTTCAGAGCAGCCTGATCGGGATGGTGAACTACTCTGCCTTCGGTTGCACACTGTTGGTCGTCATTTGATTCCAACTTTTCCAGAAGCATTAAAATTCTACTCTTTCTCATAATAGTAGCTGCTTTTCTCGACTTAGCACCATGCTAAAGTTATCACACCATTGCTGAAGTGTGGGCAGAGTCAGAAAGAGGTGAGAAGAACTTTTGGGGGACTCTTGAACAAATAACTCCCCCCCCCCCGGAAGGACAGACCACAGATAGAGGTGGCTGCAGGTTCTGTCACGTCCTGGACAGAGGATGATGTGTCCGCAGAAAGGTAGGAAGAATGAAGTGTGAGAATGCCGTGTGCTTCAGGTGGGGTACCGATAGAGCCATGGAAAGCCCCTAGGACGTGTAGTAGGATGGCCCACCTACTAAGCCACTCTGAAGGATGAGAAACCAGGATGCGTGGAGAAACAGCACAATTGCCCCATCTAATCACAGAAGGGAGACGTGTCGAAGTGCTCTATTTGGTATCAAACTGACTCCGCAAACCATGAACTGTACAAGCGGCCGGTCGACACAACAGTAAGGGAGCTCGTCCCTATCTCGCCCGAGCGGTTTGGCTTCATGCTCCGGAAAGTCCACCACTGATGCCATCTTCATCGCCAGACAGCTGATGGAGAAGTACCGAGAGAAGCGGCGACCCTGTTACCTAGCCTTCCTGGACCTTGAGAAATGATTCGACTGTTTCTCTTTTATACGTTACTCCTCCTCATAACTCTGGATGTAATAGCAAAATAACTTTT